TCCCTGGTTTTTGTTTTTTTGAAGTAAATGAATATTTTTTCCTGTGAATTTACTAGCTATCATCTGTAAATAACCTAATTTAACATTTTGACAGTTTTCCAACACTTCACATATTTTAATAACAGCAAATATCTCTACAACAATCATATTTTAGTCAATTTAAATACTTTTTTTTTCAAATATAGAACTTTAGAGTAACACATTGTGAAAGAACAATTTGTAAAAATTCCAGTTTTTGATGGACATTATTTAAAGTTGTTTTCTCGGTTTGTGTGTAATTTAATACTTTTTTTCCTGTGATTTTAATAGTTATCTGTAATTTAACAAAATGGGATAAATCTTAAAAAAACAAAAAAAAAACTGTTCAAAAGTGATAACCAAAATGATGGTTTTTTTACAGTGAAGAATAATCCTGTAATCTAGTTATTTTTCATACTCAGAGGAACTTGTGCCATATCTACAGTTGAAATGAATATTTCATGTTTATTAAATCTTTTAAAGGATTTTCTTTACATTTATGTAAAGCAGGACTGAAACTAAGAATTATTGTTTATGATTAATTAATCTGTTAAATGTTTACTTGATCAGATATTTGGTCTCTAAAACATCCAAGATGACTGTTGTGTGTAAAGATGTTCAGTTTACTGTCACAGTCGGAGAAAAAGATGAAAATATTCACACTTAAAAAGCCAAAATCAGAGAATTTAGACATTTCTCCTTTAAAAAATAATTCCTCAAAGCAATTAATGGATTTACAAAATAATTGGCGATTCATTTAATGGTTAACAACTAATTGATTAATCACTGCAGCTCAGATTTACACACTCCTACCATCATCAATATTTTATTTATAATTGACACAAGATGTATGAACAAAGTGAAACAAAAAGATCAGCAGTGACTAAGAGCTGATACTGGCGGGAATTTCACGTTATTTTCACGACTGTTTAATCGACACATTTTCTTCTTGCTCACTTGTTTTATTTGAAAAAGTAATATTTTATGGACTTTATTTATCCCACAACTAACCAATAACCCATTAAGTTGATTTATTATCGCTTCGCCTATGAAGAGTTCTGACTCGTGGAGGCGGTTTAAACCCAGGTTTATTCTGTTTATTACTCACAAACTTTTAATTCTTACACCTGACTTAACCAAACTGCTGTTTTTTTCTCTCTGTTGTATTAATTACGGTGCAGATTATCGTTATCGACGAGCATCATGAGCTTCTGGTGAGCCACGAAACATCATTTATGTTAATGAAACTCTAAGAAATAAATTAAAACTCCGGTGAAACACTAGTTTTCCATCAACAGATGAACATTTGCTTTATGTAACGTCACAGATTTACTCAGAGTCGGACGTTTTCATGTTTCTGAGCAACAACACGACACTAACTGGATTAAATCCACATTTTTCTCATCAATCAAACTTCTGCTGCAGATGTTTCCTGATGTTCATGTTTATGACAGGAAGCTACAAAACATCGTTAAAATCTGGCTGCAACTAACAATGACTCTCGTTATGGATTAATATGAGGATTCTTTCTGCACCAATGGATCTAAAATCTGTTTTTGGATTCAACCTATTCGCTGTTTGCTTCTAAAAATGGTAGAAAAGTATTTTTAAAAATGTCGACCAGTGTTTCCCACGATGACATATGTTTTGTTTGCAACCCAAATATATTCAGTTTACTGTCAAAAATATAAAATATTCACATTTACTGGCTGTAACCTGAGACGTTTGGCTTTTTGTGTTTAAAGAAAAACCCAAACGGATCAACTGATGATCAAAACAGCTGCAGATTACTTTATTAGCTTCATTTATTCCTTATAAAAAAAATATGCACAACAGCCACAGTGATTATCTTTGGCTTATTAGTCAGTGTTTGGTCTATAAAATGTCCAAAAAAATAAAAAATAAATGTGTTGAACTAGCTGAAGATGACACACGTCTGGATTTGTCCAAACATATTCAGTTTACTGTCACAGAGGAGGAACGAAACGGAAATTATGCAGAAGCCGCAAGCAGAGAAATTTGACTTTAAAAATATATATATGCACTAAACGATTCTGAAAACGGTGGCAGATTCATTTATCAGCTTCATTTATTCCTAAAACGATGCAAAACATCTCAACATGTTGAGATTACCTCCATAGAGGAGGGGAAAAAAGAAAAATATTCACATGTACGAAGCTGCAATTACACGTTTTTCTTTTTGAAAAATCCTCAAACTAATGAACTGACTGTCAAAGTAATTGCTGATGAACTTATTAGCGGAGAACTAATCGATTAATGTGACTTTCAGCCAACTCTGCAGCTCCCAGGAGCCAGAATCCTCCAAACATGGAGCCTTTCATCGCAGCACATCATCACCACTACGACCCAACAACGGCGGGATTCTCTGATGAGCGCTCAAGTAAACCCCACGTCTCCGTCTCCAGAAGGCCTCCTGAACCCGGCAGCACGTCTAACCGGGGTGATTCATCCGCGCTGTAATTACGCCGTTTGCACAAACGAGCTCAGCTTGACTCTAAAAGGCGGCGATAAGGAGGCAGCGCCATAAACACGGCAGACTTTGGAAGGTAAACTGGACCTGCCCTCCGCCCCGGCTGACATTTAAACGCCTCGGCGACGAAGCGGAGCGAAAGGAAAACACACGTTCACAGGTGAGCCGTGCGACGCCACACCTGTCCTCTGATGGAAGGAGAAGTTAGAGAAAAACATCCCGTCAAAGAAAACACAAAAGGCACCTTGTACACACTCACATTTAAAGTTCACAGCAGAGTCTGGGGATTAAGAGTCGGGTTGTAGTTTAACTAAACCTGCATGACTGACTGGAATCAAATAAAAAAGATTAAATCCATTTACTGTGCAGGCTGGCGTTACATATTGACTTTTATCAGCAGCAAACAAAACCATAAACTAATTAAAACCACACGCTATGACTTATAAAACACATTCATCTGAATACGGTAAATAAGAAAGTTAAGACCAATAATATCATAGAAATACACACATTATATAAACAACAATAATACATAGAAGAAGTTTTTTACTATAATTATATTCAAGCTAGAATCCTGCACCGTCCTTACTGATGCGTTAACGTGCATTAATACACATTACAGCTGCAGGTGACGGAGCTCATTTAAGCCATTTTACTGACATTTTCCTCGGTTGGATGATTACGAGACAAAAGGCCACGTCTCCTACGGCGGCACAAAACATCCTGAAAGGGGTGGAAACCGTACTGGCACATTTCTGAAACTGTTTTATGCCACTTTGCATCTCTTTTTAACAGTTTTTCTTCTTGTTTTCCTTCATTTTCTGTCTCTTTCGCTCAGTTTGTTCCCTCTAACAGGAGTCCTGCATCTCTCTGGAGTGGTTTTTCTTTTTTTAGTCACTTTGCCTCTCTTTGTGATAGTTTTTTGTTCATTTTGCTCCCTTTCACAGGAGTCCTGTATTTCTCTGTAGTCATTTCGCTGCTTTTTAGAGAAGTTTTTAAACTTTTTAGTCACTTTGCATATTTGATTGACAGTTTTTGTCTCTTTCTGTCTCCTTTATAAGCCTTGTTTTGCATCTTATTGTCTTCACATTAAATCTCTGTTGCCGTTTTTTGCTCCTTTTTACAACAGTCTCACATCTCTAAAGGTGTTATACCTCTATTTGTTATTTTAAGTTGTTTTTTTGTCCGTTTGCACCTCTCTCTGGTCATTTTGCCTCATTTTGTTCTAGTTTAGGATTCCTCCGGGGATTTTTTGTGTCATTTTGCATTTGTCTGTAGTTGTTTTATTTCTCCTTGTTGTTGTTTTGCATCTGTTTGTTGTCATTTTGCATCCTTTAAAATCTCTTTGCATCTCTCGGTTATTGTTTTGTCGTCATTTTCGAGCAGGATTTCACGCTCTCTACCGGTTGTGCGTGTTTTATAAGCATCTTGCACGTGTTTTTGTGCACACTTGCAGTTGTTTTGCTCCTTTTTGTGGTCATTTTTAATCTCCAGTAATCAATTTGTGTCACGCTGTAGTTATTTAGACCCTGTTAATAGGAGTCTTGCATCCGTCGCGAGTTGTTTTCTGTCTATTTATGGCAATTTAGCTTCTTTTTATTATAATAATTTTGAGCTATTTTTAGACATTTTGCTTCCCTTTCAGTCAACTGGTGTCTCTCTCCAGTCGGTCTGCCTTGTTTTTAACTCTCTGTAGTAGTTTGTGCCTCACTGTGGTCGTTTTGTATTTTTTTCTGGTCATTTAATACTTTTTACAGGAGTCTTGTTTATCTCTGTAGTTGTTTTGTGTCTTTCTAAGAGTCGTTTTGCTGTTTTTGTTGTAATTTCCTGTCCCAAGCAAACACTTTGAGCGTCTTTCATTCAGATTGTGTGTCCCATTTGTCATCCTGCATCTCTGTGGCCGTTTGGATCCTTTTTACAAGAGTCTAGCTTTTCCCTGTAATAGGTTCGTGTCTATTTGTGCTGCGTTTGGCTCTTTTGTTGTCGTTTTGTGTCTCTAGTATGAAGTTTGTGTCTCTCCAACTGCCTGAGGTCAAAAATGAAGCCGATTGAGAGGGCTGGCGTTAGCTTGGCCATGTTGGGCCTGGCAGCAGCAGCAAGCAGCGTAATATTCAAAACTTGACAGCGCGATAGCCTCACTAACGTTAACTAGCTAGCAACGTTAGCTCCCCGATTAGGCGCTCCAAAGCGTCATTTAATGTTAGCTAGTTGTCTCCTCTTGGTGCAAAAAGCACCTAAATATTCCAAACGTGGAGACAGACCGAGCTTTTCACCAACGCTCTCGAGCTTTATTTCAAAACACGGCGTTTTAGGTAGCTAGCTAACGTTAGCGCTGCGGCTATCGCGGGTTAGCTTAAGTTGAACATGTAGCATTAGCTCATTAGCCGCCACCAGCTAGCTCTCAGTGCAAAAAGGAAACACAAGAAGCGGATCTAAAAACAGTGAAGTGATTAAATTTGAGTTCACATGAGTGCTAATAAGGTAACATTACCTGGGTGGGCTCGGGCGATCACCCATCATCCCAGATGTAAATACAGGGGCAGTGCTAATGCTGCTACCGTTAGCTAGCGCTCTCAGACTGACAGAGCGGCTGGGCTGGGAGACACACACCGTCCCGATCCCGACCCGAGCCCGACAAGCTGCAGCTCCAAGATCACAGTACTTTACCTTGATCCTCTGCGGTTCGCAACGGAGACGGCGGCGAGGAGTTTATCCTACGTTCGGAAAGCTACGAGGCTAAGTGTTAGGCTACCTCCAGCTCGGTGCGGACAGCCTTTCCCAAGCAGCGGCGGAGCAGCAGCAAAATCTCGGCCTGAAACAGCCAAACCCACGAGTGCCTTTTCCTTCCAACGGAGAGATCCTCAAACTCCCATTAATAGCAAAATATAAAACGATTAGACAAACGCAATTACATTCCTGTGAGTGCTGGAGCTGCTCGTGTGGCCCGGGCCCCTGGGTTTCGGTGTTTTCCTCGGGTCGTTCGTGGTTCGGGGCTGTTTCTTTTCACCCTATTGTCAACACTGCTGGGCTGAGACCATGGCACACATAACACAGACGCAGCGTAGCATGCTGGACGGGCCACAGTACACCTACGACGCTGATTGGCCGCCGGCGCCAATGTCGGGGGCTGCGATTGGACGGCACCGCCTGTCAATCAGCGCGGAGGCTGCGAGCTCGTCGGTTAGGTGGAGGAGGAGGAGAAGGGACAAGGGAAGAGATCGGGGCAGAAAGTGCGGAGCGAGTGTGTGCGGAGCCGCAAACAGCGTCCCGGAATGAGGCCGAACCAGTCCGAGGCCCTGCCCAGCGGCCCGCAGCCCGCCGTCTGCCGGCCGGTACACGGAGCGAAGCGACGCACGGAGGCTGGATTTGTGTGCAAGATTACAGGGGAAGGAGTTACATAACTGTAATGTACCAACCTGGTGCTGCAGGGACGGACATCAGGGGGCCCGCACGGAGCCCCTCTGGGTCCTGGGCGCGTTTAGGTCCTGTCCCCTCACTGTGGGTTCAGTTTTCATTACAATATACAGTCCTAGAAACAGGACGACCGTGAAGAAGGAGAAACATATCTTCTGTGCAGAATGACACAAATACAAACCATTAAAAAAGAAAAACTAAAGTTGAATTTCAACTTACAACCTTTTACCAAGTGTCCACAGGTGTTTCCAACACTGGAGGAATAAATGATGCTGCCCATTGATTATTATTATTATTGCTTGCTTTTTACTATTCACATTTTTTTCGACAAAATCAGAGTTTTTCACACATAACAAAGATGTTCCTCCATGCTGGATGTTTCTCCAACAACTGGCTCCTCTGTTCACTGGTTCTGATCCATGCTGCATTTAGTTTATTGTAAAATGATTGTAAAATGATTTGGAATAAATTCACTATTCTAAGGTTCAGTTTGGTTATTTTTCCTGACAGGTCGTTGCACATTAATAGTTCACAGTTGGTCAGAAAGCTGTATCGTCTCATTTTGCTGTCTCTTTTAGATAGTTTTCTCTCCTGTCTTTTTTGCATCTCATTTTCACTCTGTGGTTGTTTTGTCTCTTTTTGAGTCCTTTTGCATCTCTCTCTAGTCATTTTTTCTTATTTTGTTGTAGCTTTGCATCTTCCTGGAGTCGTTTTGCTGCTTTTTGTCATCTTTGTTTGCTTTGTTTTGTTGTTTTCTGTCTCTTGGTAGTCAGTATTTTTATTTACCACCAGTTTTAACTAGATGTAGCTTTTCTCTCCATGTCACAGCCAAAAACACTCCAGCAGATGTTTGAACAGCTGTACTGGTTGGACACCACATCGCTTATTACAAATTCCTGCTTGTGTCAGAAAGGAAAAACACACTCCAGCTTTAAAACCCTGCAGGGAAACTCCCAGAAATACCGTTTTATTAATGTGCAGATGATGACTCAGCCCGTTCCATCACCGTCACTGAAAAATCCATCAATGATTAAAAACCAGAGAAGAAGTGAGTCACTGAGTTTTTACAGTGACCGAGGTCCAGCTGCAGCCGTTTCACTGCGGCCGGTCCAGAGCGCCGACTTTCAGGAAGCTGGAAAGCTTCGATCGCTACTACTTTTACAGGAGAAATGAACAAAAAACAGTTCATTTAAATATAAAAACTGGGCTCCGGTTTCATTCTGTACAGAAAACAACATGTGTTTTAGTGTTTTATTGTCTCAAATTACACAAAATCAGTTCCAAAGCACATTAAAGTCCATCAAAGACAGTTAATATATTTATTTTTATCTCCTTTTACAGACGAGAGTGATTCTGTTTCTGCACAGAAGACGTCGCTGAGTTTTTTCTTTGTTCAGTTTCCACAGAGCTGCAGGACTTTACGTTGATTCATCCATCATCTCTCCACCTTAATCCTCACTAGGGTCATGGGGGGCTGGAGTCTATCCCAGCTGACCCAGGGTGAAGGCAGGGGACACCCTGGACAGGTAACCAGTCTATCACAGGGCTACACTTAGAGACAGACAACCAAGCACACTCACATTCACACCTACGGACAATTTAGAATCACCAATTAACCTCAACATGTTTCTGGACTGTGTGGGAGGAAGCTGGAGAACCCAGAGAGAACCCACGCTGCACGTGGAGAGCATGGAGACTCCACGTAGAAAGATCCCGGATGTCCTCACCGGGACGCCAACTGGCGACCTTCTAGCTGTGAAGCGATGATGATAACCAGCGACCCACCTGGCAGCCCCTTTGTTGATTCACGTACATTGAAAAACAAGACAGCAGATAAAAAAACACACAGACTGCTGCTCAGAGTTCAGAGGTTTAAATTAATGTGTTTTATGTTCACGTCAGTGAGGCAGAAAAGGTTCAATTCAAACAACATGGAGTCAAATTCACATCTTAACACGAGTCCTACAGGTTTAAAGTCGACTGCTTTATTTCAAAACAGTGAAAATGGGAAGATGGCAGCGACTATGAAATGCTGAAACTTGACAAGTCCGTTTGTGACCCAGAAGCGTCTACGCCGTCTTCTCTCGCTGGTATCTGTGTTTCTTGTGCGGCCTGGATTTGAGTCTCAAAGCCGATTCGCTCTTCATCGATTCCTTCCTCCCCGCCGTTAGCTCCTCCCCTCCTGGTTTCCACAGCAACAGCTGAGCGTCCTCCCCCCCGGTGACCAGCGCCTCCCCCTCAGCGTCCCACAGGAAGCAGCGCACCGTGGAGGCGTGGCCGCCCTGCAGGCTCCGCAGCAGCCGCAGCCCGCCGCCGTCGCAACGCATCAGGTGCAGCTCGCCGCTCTTCATCCCGCCCACCACCAGCAGAAGCCCCGCCCCCTCCAGCCACCGCCCACCCACCAGGTAGTCCACGCTACCGCCGCCTGGCAGCAGCGGCAGGCCGCGGGCATCGGCGGCGCTGAACACGGTGAGCGGCTCATCGCTGTCCAGCTGGCTCAGGTCCCACAGGTGCAGCCCCTCGTCGTGGCTCAGGCACAGCAGCTGGTCCAGGTCAGGTCCGGACCAGCAGACGGCGCTGGCCGACGAGTCGCTGTTGCAGGTGGCGAGCAGCGCCTCGTCCTCCGGGCCGCGGCTCAGGTCGAACACGTTGACCAGGCCATCAGTGGAGCCGGACGCCAGCCGGTCCTTGTCCCGGGGGTGGAAGCGCACCTGAGTGATGTCATCACTGTGTGACTCGGAGTAAACCCCGAGCGGGTCGGCACCGGGCTTCCGTCGGTCCCAGAACACCAGGAAGCTGTCCTCATCGCTCACCTGCTCGGTTCCGGCGCACAGCAGAGCATCGCTGCAGCTCAGGTCGAAGCTGCAGAAGCTGTGAGACGCGTCACTCCTGAACGTCTGAACAGCGTCGGAGCTGCGGCGCCGGACGTCCCAGACTCGGACCGAGCCGTCGGCAGAACCGGAGAACAGCAGGTCAGGGGAGGAGCGAGCGAAGGTGACGCCGCAGATTGGCCCGGTGTGACCGCGAAGCTCCCCCAGTGGCCGCAGAGTGTCTCTGTCGTGGAGGTGGACGGAGAAGTTGGAGCAGGAAACCGCCAGCAGGCCGCCGGGCTGCAGCGCCACGTCCAGCAGGTAGGTGGGTTCTTCTGGACGGGACCGCCGGGTTACCGACAGAACCTTCAGCTGCTCCTCCAAGGCCTCCATAGAACCTGCAGAGTCACAAAGACACTGAGGAAATGGACCAAAGACGGAAAACTCAGAGCCGATCTGATGTTTTCATCAATCAGCAGCTCCACCTCTGATCTGCTGATTATTGGTCGATATTTTTATTCATCAGTTATTGATTAAACAATTAAATGACGTCATCGCTCCTATTTCTATCGTACATATTCAGTTATAGAAAGCCGTTTTTATGAAGTAACTTAGTTACGAATGACAGCTTCTTTGCTGTCACATGTTGTTAATATATAACATTTAAGTGATATCGGTTCCAGATATCAGTTATTGATCGTTCCTCACATCAGTTTTCAGTATCAGCCCAAAATAAAAAAAAGTCGATCCTCAGCTCCAACTTAGAAATTTTGTCTTTTAAGTCTCTGAACTCCAAAACATGCCAGCGGGTCTCAAAGGCGCCTCATGTTTGAAGAAAAAAACTACCATTTATCATCAGCTGCAAGAGCAACGTGTCAGGAGGAAAACGGCCTATATGAATGAAACTGGTCCTTAAAAGCTGTTTTAACCTATAAAGTAGAACTTTATTGGTTATGATGTTGGGTACAAAGCAGGTACAATAAAGCGGAGACATGAGGATAATTACTTTCTCCTAGGAATTTGTCTGTTCAAGGTTTTATTACGTTTCCTGCAATAAATCTCCAGCAAGACTCAATTCAAAATTTTGGTTATTTAAAGTTTTCTTGCTTTTTTTGACACTTATGTGCAACAGAGCTCACCACTTACAGATTTTCACAAACAACTGGATTCGACTTAGTAATTCGGCATTAATTCAATCCAGCAAACAGTGATCATTCAAGATTATTGATCACCATTGTTTAGCACTAGCAAGCTATTTTCCACAGGTTTCTTCCCACAAAATAAAAATGTATATCGTTTAGCTGCTAAGATTTCGAGCCGAATGATGCAGCACATCATCAGCTTGAACCCTGTTCTAAGTTTTAAATAAATCACAGCGGTATACTTGAAATGAAGCAAGATAACATTAAATATGTAGAATTTTCAATGGAGTTTGGTGTTGTGTTGAGCTCATAATAAAGACACGTGCACCAATGAATCCCTGTTCGCTGCTGTTTGTGTCTCTCGGTGTTTTGTGTTTTAAAAAGCGTCGTGTGTAGTTAAATCATCTACATACCTGCTAGAACTTTCCACCCATGAAGGAAAAACAGCGGCACGTTTTTCACGTTAACGTCTCTGAAACTCGTCCGTCGCCATTTTGGACGAAACTCAGCTTCGCGTTGAAAGATTTAAAGACGAAAATTAACACAAATCTTCATTAAATCTCTCGTTAAACACAATAATAAATAAAACGACGCCGCTTTTAGTCAGAAATCACACATGGCGGAAGAGCTCGGTGTCACAGCGTTTACTGTCCGGGCGGAACCTTCGCTTCAGAGTTTGTATCCGCCCGTGTTGGACAAACGGAATTCTGAATAATTTTCGTTTAATAAGTGATTGATAAAATGTGGAAGTGTTTGAATTTGAGACTTGATTTAGTTTCTTATGAGTCAAACTGAGGAAATATTCATCTCTTTAACGCCATTTGTGTCTTTTGGGGTAATTTTGCGTGTTTTTGTGTTCATTTTGTGTCTCTGTGTTGATTTTGTGTCCTTCTGTGGACATTTGACCACATTTTGTGTTCATTTTTGCATCGTCTGTCTTAATTTTTTTTTAACCTAAACGTTCATTTTGTTCTTCTTTGTCATCATTTTGGCACACTTTCATGCTAAGTGTGTAACTTTCTGTGGTCATTTTGCATATTTTGTGATAATATTAAATTTTGTGTCGTCATTTCGTGTCTCTTTCTGGTTATTTTTGCAAATTTGTGCCCATTTTGTGTCGATTTTTTCAACTTTTGTGGTAGATTTGCTGTGTTTGTATTCACTTTGTGTCTCTTTGTCATCATTCTACATCTTTTTATGGTCATTTTATGTCTCTTTTGCTTGTTTTTGTGCACTTTGTGTCGATGTGTCATCATTTTGCATGTGATTTGTCATGTTGAGATTAGTGGTGCTGATTTCTGCATCTGTTGTGGCCATTTTGCATCGTTTTTGCATGTTTTTTGTGGTTATGTTGCATCTCTGTGGTGGTAGCAGGACTGTTTGTGATAATTTTTTGTTCTTTTGAGGTGAATTTGTCATATTTGGTATCACTTTGCATCAGTTTGTCATCATTTTCTATCTTTTTTGTGGTTATTTTACATGTTTGTTTGTTTGTTTTTTTATGTCCCTCTGTCACCATTTTGTGATTCATAACAGTGATTTTTCATTTTTTGTGTTATCATTTTGTGGCTCCTTGCGGCTATTTTTGTAAATTTGTGCCCATTTTGTTTTTGTTTTTTTTTTGTAGATATGCTGTGTTTGTGTTCACTTTATGTCTCTTTGTCATTATTTTCCATCTTTTTATGGTAATTTTTGCATGTTTTTGTGTTCACTTTGTATCTACTTGTCATCATTTTGCATGGTATTTTGTCATTTTGTGTCCCTCTGTGGTCAGTTTGGGATTTCTGGTGGTGATTTTGTGGCCATTTTGTGTCTGATTGTCATCATTTTTGCACGTTTTTGTGGTCGTTGTCTGATTGTTTGTCAGACTTTTGGGATCTTTTGTGACAAATTTGTAATATTGGCTGTCTTTGTGTCTCTGTCATAACTTCCTTCTTTTGTGTGGTTATTTTGCATGTTTTTTTGTAATTTTGAGTCCCTCTGGCATCATTTTGTTGTTGATAGTGCTGATTTTCATATAATATCTCTTTTGTTGTCAGTTTATGTCTCTTTGTGGTAATTTTTCATAATTTTGTGGTCATTTTGTTTCTTTTTCGGGGATTTCTGCATTTCAGTTTTGTAATTTCGTCTCCCATTGTGAACATTTTACAACTCCTAGTGATCATTCTGCATCCTTTCAGGTAATTCTGCATCTCTTTGGCTTCTCTGATTCACAGGTTTGATATAAAAATGTGAGTTTTTGCTGCAGATTTCCAGATTTCACTCCGACCTGATGATGAAAACAGAAACAAGTTGTGTTTGCAGATCCTCTGACGTGTTTTTGATCCACAGAACTCAGAGTTTGTCCTCAAGGTGTCAGATATCAGGCTGAAGGTCGGAGAGTTAAAGCAGGAGTAAGGATTAAATGTGTCGCATGTAGTTAATGAGGGCGTCCAGCAGGTGGCAGCAGCAGCACAAACAGAAACAGCATCTGAGGCCTTGAAGTTGATTCAAGTTTCCATCTGAAGTAAAACCTGCATCTGTTCAACTGCTGCAGGAGAAACGACACAAACTGTTGTTATTTCACCTGCATTTAGAGCTTCAGGGTTTGAGTTAAATCCCTCCTGATGTTGCTCAGATCTTCACTTCTGATTAAAACAAATCTGCTGCAGCTCCGTCTCATCGTTTGTGTTCGTTTGCGATCATTTTAGATCTTTTTTTATGACAATCTGTTGATATTTTGTGTCTGTTTTGAGTCTTTTTGAGGACTTTTGAGTCTCATTGTGATTATTTCATATCGTTTTGTGATCATTCTGCATCTTTTTGTGTTTATTTTTAAATCTTTTTTGTGTTATTTTGTTGTGTTTTTGGGGCAATTTTGTGTGTCTGTGGTCAATTTTGCATTATTTTGTGTCTTTTTCTGGTCATTTGTCATGATTTTATGATAATCTGTGGATATTTTGTGTCTGTTTTGAGTCTTTTTGTGATTATTTCATATCGTTTTGTGATCATTCAGCATCTTTTTTTGTTTAGTTTTTGCGTTTTGTGATCATTTAGAATATTTTAGTGGTAACTGTGTGTCTCTGTGGTCCCTTTGCAGCATTCTGTGTTAATTTTGTGTCTTACTGTGCTATTTTGTCTGTTTCAGGTCATTTTATGTTAATTTTACATCTTTTTTGTGGTAATTTTTTGTCTTCACTGTCGTTTTATGTCTCTGTGATAGTTTTTGAGGTTATTTTTTTTATCTTATTGTGGTGTTTTGGGGGGTTTTTTGGTCGTCATTTTGAATTTCTTTGCAGCAAGTTTGTGTCTCTGTGGTATTTTTGCATCATTTCGTGTTAATTTCGTGTCAGTTTGTGATTATTTTGTGCCTCTTTCTGATCCTTTTGCATGTTTTTGTGTTAATTTTGTCTAATTGTGCTCATCTTGCATAATTTTGGGGTGATTTTGTTTCTCTTTCTGTTAATTTTGCATTTTTTTATCGTCATATTTCCTTTTTGTGTGTCATTCTGCGTCTTTTCATGCTCACTTTGTGTCTTTTTGTGGTAATTCTTCACTTAGAAACGTTAAAGTCGCTGCTGAAAACTCTTCTTGTCGGCCTCCAAGTCGAGCTCGACTTCATCTTTTATTGTTGTGACTTTCCGTTCTTTCATTTTATTGTGTTTTTTATTCACATGATTGTGTTTTCTCTGCTGTTCCTTCAGCTCGGTTCAGCTCTTGTTGTCTTTAATGTGCTTTATAAATAAATGTGACCTTGTTTCTGGTCAAAGCAGCTGCAGTTTGGTCACAGATGAATCAGAGTCTGTTGGTTCGACATCAGGCCTGCGAGGAAACGTCCAGCCGACAGGTTGGCAAACACTCACATGATCAAACCCAAATGTTCTTTCAGACAGTTTCCAGGCAGCGAAACAGAAAAATATAAAGTTTATGAGCAGATCAACATGTGGAGCTGATTTCTACGACGGTAATGTTTGTATCTGAGTTCAGTAAATTCAGAAATACGCAATAAAAAGACAAACATAAACACAACTATTAGCAGCTGAACAGTCCAAAGAAAATTAGTCAGCTGATGACAAACAGAAGTTAGTTTTAGATGAACAGCTTTTACTTTAGTACAAGAAGCAAAGCCTCCATGAAAATCCTGCAACACCTTCAAAAAGTCCATAAAAAGTTTTAAAAGTTTTCTCCTTTTTAGTGCTTTTTAACATTGAATCAAGGTCGATTTAATTTGGCTTGTTTGACAAGAATTTACCCCAAAAAATATTCTTTCATGTCAAAGTGGCTCACCTACTTCAACACGAGTGTAGTGAAGAATCACAATGTGAAGCACGGTGGTGGCAGCATCATGATGTGAAGCACGGTGGTGGCAGCGTCATGATGTGAAGCACGGCGGTGGCAGCGTCATGACGTGAAGGACGGTGGTGGCAGCATCATGACGTGAAGCACGGCGGTGGCAGCGTCATGACGTGAAGCACGGTGGTGGCAGCATCATGATGTGAAGCATGGTGGTGGCAGCATCATGATGTGAAGCACGGTGGTGGCAGCATCATGATGTGAAGCACGGTGGTGGCAGCATCATGATGTGGGGATCTTCTCAGCAGCAGTCCTGGAAGGCTTGTCAAGGTAAAATGAATGCAATAACAGGGGAGAACTTCAAATGAGGCTGAATACTTTAATAGGTACTATATACTGCAAGTATCAGAACTAAAAGTACTCACTGGGGTCAGAAAGTTCTCATTTCAAATTAGCATAAAAAGTAAAATACTTGCATGAAGAACTCTGAACTAAAGCTAGCTGCAGTTTTTTCTGTTTAATAAAATAGTTCTAACGTCTGAAATATCTCGTAGTTGTATTCTTATAACTTTCATATTTCCAGTTTATTTTATATTTGCAGTATTTCATCGAGGAGTTGAAATGATTTATTTTTTTAAACACCACAAACTGAGGAGAAGCAGCTTCGTTATTTCAGTTCATCATCATTTTTATTTCAGTTAATTTCACCCAAACAGAAACAAGAGTCTCGTTTCGAATCAACAACAAAATCTGCAGGTTTGTATAGAATAAAAAAATACTGTGAAACTGCATAAAAGGTTCACATCCGTCACAACAACACGACAGGAATCATGAGGGTTCGATTAGAAATGAATCATCTGACACAGGCGGTTCTCCTGATTCTGGAACAAAACCTCTGAAGGAGAAAAAAAGACACCAACTGTTGGAATCGAACGTGAAAATTAAGTTTTGAGCTTCGGCAACTCGCTGAAACCTTAAAAATCTGGAAACTGGAAACTTTTCCGCAGCTACAAAGTGCAAAAGGCAAAAAGACACAGCGAGTTCAAATCCTGAACGACGAAGGCACTGAAGAGAGAGCTCGGCTACAGTTCAAACGTTTGGTCAACGGAGACGTAAAAACCCGATGGCAGAGTCGACCTCGGTACCGGAGACCTCAACCGCTCAGTGAAACCGAAGAAATACGAGTTCACGTTTTATGACCAGAAGCACCAAATCCTCCAGTCTGAGAAGCAAAAACCAGAAAATATTCAACAATTCTACTCTTAAAAAATTCATGTATTTGGAAATTTTTAGGATGAATTTGAAAAACAAACAAATTCCAGGTTTTAACACATTTTCAGTTCTGCTTTAACAGGTTTATAATTAATACTTGGACTTTAAACGCCATCTCATAAGAAATATAATTCATGAGTAGGATATATTTAGAGTTTTATTATTTTGATCAGAGGACAAAATGTTAAATTTTTAGATCACAACGAGTATATTTAGGATTTTATAAAATGTTGTGATTGTAATAAATGTTGTTTTTTTCTTTTTTGAAAAACTGGGATTCAATCAAAACTAAAGATAGAATTAAAACAACTGAATATGGGATCATATCGGATTTATGAGGACTTCTGGTGTTTTACCAGAAACAAGAATATGGTTTATATCAACCAGATGTTAAGATTATAAAAAATAAAAAGGTCACAGATGATAACCTATTGAGAAGCTGCACTGATGTGAAGCACGGCGGTGGCAGCATCATGACGTGAAGCACGGTGGTGGCAGCATCATGATGAAGCACGGTGGTGGCAGCGTCATGATGAAGCACGGCGGTGGCAGCATCATGACGTGAAGCACGGTGGTGGCAGCATCATGATGTGGGGATGCATCAGCCCTGGAAGGCTTGTAAAGGCAGAGGGTGAAATGAATAGAATCAGGTTTATGACATTTTTAGATTGTTGTAATCCCCCAAAATGAATTTGGATTACATAAAATTAAAAAGGTCACAGATTATTTGGCAGTTCTTCAAATTATTTTAGTCAAAAATGGGACAAAAAAAGGAAATAAATTAATAAACAAACCAAATAGTTATAAAATAAAGTAAAATAAAGCGTTATAACAAATTTTAGGTTTTCACCAAATAGCAAATCATGAAATATTGTGAAAAAAAATATTAAAACTAATTTATTCGTCCATCAGGAGGACAAAACGTCACATTCTGAGGTTTTTACGGTTTAGTTTGACTCCTGGAGGTCGACTCTGCTCAGACGGCTGGAATGAAATGTTCACACTGTGTCTCATTAAACACAGAAACGCCGTCGACGTCATCGCAGCTCAGAGCTCGAAGGTCGAACGTCGTCTTTGTCCGTCGACTCGACAAACTTCACAAAAACCCGACGACGAACACGAGCGGAGCCGAGCAGCAGGTTGAATGGATCCGACTAAACGTTTCTGTGTCTGGTTTTAAACTGAACTTATCGGAAACTTTGACTTTACAGCCGCAGCAACAAACTGAACAAACAGAGAAGCAATAAAACGACAATAAAAGCTGCTGCTGCTGCTTTAAATGCCGGCAGGCGATTGTGAAAATATGAAAAGCAATAAATGTGCCACAGAATCATAAAATAACTTCATCTAGTCGCAGCGATGGCAGGAATATGTGCAGGTCTTCTATCTGAGCTACAGAAAAGCTGAAAAACGACCAAACATTCACCCGATTGCAGCTGAACCGACTTAAAATCCGCTTTAAGTTCAGTTTGTCGCGTTGGACCGACTTCCTGCTCGGCTCGGGGGGGGGGGGGCAGTGCATTCTGGGAACAGTGCATCATCTCAGGACAGTACCGTAAACAACAAACAACAACAACAACAACAACAACAACACAGGTTACAAATCAGCTCGGCGGGCGAATTTAGAGCAAACGTCGAGGAGGCACTTGATCCACAGTGTTGACGAGGCCTTCGCTGACTCCCGGCTGAGTGGAAAACCTGAACTTTACGTCTTCTTCCACCAGACGACGTGAGTGGTGAACTCAGAATCAAACAGGAGCTCCAGAAGTACAACATTTCAGACAGAAACAGAAACAGAAAGTCGACTTTGAGGTGTTTAAACGCATGAAAAACACGTTTCAGATTCACTCAAAAGCTCTCTGATCTGCCTTAAAAAGCCCCCAAGGCCTCCAAGGCAACACGCGTCTGTCGACTAGTTTTAAAAAATCAAGGACAGACTTTAAAAAACAATTTTTGAGCAAAGATTTTCATTAAAGCACAGAAAAATAGAAATATATACTTTTTCAGTGAGAATTCAGCAGATCTTAGCTGCTGAGGAAGATCATGTGGAGCACTGAGAGCTCAGGAACTGCTGCTAAATGGCTTCTTTAGTGGCTTGTTTATGTCAAAGATCGAAGGCGAACTTTAAAATCTCTCTTTTGAGCTAATGTGCTCACAAAGAACAGAGTTATAAAGCTTTTTTTTAAGAAAACGGAGCAAGTTTTACCTGCAGAAGAAGCTCATGCGAGATCACTGAGAGCTCCAGAACTGCTACTAAAGGGCCTCTGAGTAGACAGGGGTTTGTCGATGCAGTTTCAAAGCTCAAGGATGAACTTTAAATTGCAGTTTTCGAGGTAATGTGCTCAGAAATATAAATGCGTTCAGTTCTAATACAAGTTTTACCTGCAGAGGAAGATCATGTGAGATCACCGAGAGCTCCGGAGAAGCTACTAAAAGGCCTCAGCAGTGACGGCTGTTTCAAACATGAAGGACCAACTTTAAACTCCTGCTTTTGAGCTCATGTGCTCAGAAAACTGAAAAGACAATCAATTCGAATAAAAATTAAGCAACTTGTATCTGCTGAGGAAGATCATGTGAGATCACTGAAAGCTCAGGAACAGCTGCGAAAGGGCCTCTGAGACGACATGGGTTTGTGTCAAAGCTCGAGGACGAACTTTAAGTCCCAGTTTTGTTACTAATTTGCTCAGAAAAAAAAAGGAAATAGAATCATTAAAAAAGTTTTAACAGCCGAGGAAGATCATGTTTGACGACTGAAAGCTCCAGAACAGCTGCTAAACGGCGTCTGAGAAGACGGGCGTTTGTTTCAATTACAGTTTAAATTACAGTTTTCGAGCCAATGCGCTCAGAAATATAAATGCGTTCAGTTCTACTACACGTTTTAGCTGGTGAAGAAGATCATGTGAGATCACTGAAAGGTCAGGAACAGCTGCTAAAGGGCCTCGGAGAAGACACAGGTTAGTCTCAAAACTCGAGGACGAACTTTAAATCCCAGTTTTGTAACTAACGTGGGCAAAAACAGAAATGTTTACGATTCCAACAAAAGTTCTGACAGCCGAGGAAGCTCATGTTTGAACCGCTGAAAGCTCCAGAACTGCTGCTAAATGGCCCCTGATGTTTCTGAGATCGATAACAAACTTTAAAATCCATGACTTTGAGCTGCTGTGCTCAGAAAATGGAAATCAAAATAATCTCCCAAAGGATTACCTAGTTATACCTGCAGAGGAAGCTCATGTGAGATCACTGAGAGCTCTGGAGACGCTTCTAAAAGGCCTCGGCAGTGACGGCTCTTTCAAACATCAAGGACAAACTTTAAATCCCAGTTTTGTAACTAACGTGGGCAAAAACAGAAATGTTTACGATTCCAACAAAAGGTTTTAACAGCCGAGGAAGATCATGTTGGATCACCGAAAGCTCCAGAACTACTGCTAAATGGCTCTGTCAAGGTTAAATCCCAGTTTTCGAGGTAACCATCTACAAAAATGGAAACATAAAGGGTCCCAGTAGGAGTTAAAATGGAGCTTTTGAGTTCTCAGCTGTGAGTGTTGAGCTTTCAGTCATACGTCTTGGTCTTCTTCAGCGGTTCTGGTTTAAGTAAAAGAACTTGCAGATCAGTTTTCTTACATTTTTGCCTTTTTTAAACTAATAACCGTCGTAATAAATCAGCTTCTGTCTTTATGAACTGATGCTTTAGTGAGTTTTTGTCACTTTATCGGGTTTAAAAGCACAAAAGTGGTGAAAGTTTCAAAGAAGTTCGTCTCTAGAAGTTTGTGCAGAAGGTCGACGACGGCAGAGAAAACGCTGATCTTCTGTTTCCTGAGATTGTACAAATTAAATATATTTTGCTTCCTTGTTGGGAAGAATTACATAAAAAATCTACAAAAATAAAGCTTCGGATCGAGCATTTCTTTGTTTGAACAGCCGTCTGCGTGTCGCTGCTGCTTTTCTCGGCAAAGACGCGTAAAAAATTATTTAAAAATCTGCATTTTGCGATTAAAACAATGACCCGTTTTGTGTGTTTTTATGATTATTACTGAAAACGTTTGTGGTTGTCGTGAACGAAGTCGCACGATTCCACTGAAATATTCTTGGTTTAGTTGAACTTTGAAATGTTCCCTGAATGAATTTTAAGCAGAAAAACTTTTGAAATATTTCGTTGAAGTTTGAATCTTTAAGGCAGAAAAGACGAAATATTCACAGACTGGAGTTGAAATATGTTTGGAAAAGAAATGGAAATGTAGCGGGAGAAAAAAATGCGATTTTCTCTAAATGCTAAAATGTTTTCAGGTAAATGTTTGTCTTGAAATATGAGAACTTTATAAATCCGGATGTTTTTCTCTCTCTCTGTCGAAACTCTTTGATTTTCAGCCCTTCGACTCTCTGACCTCAGATCAGCGTTTTCTCCGTCGTAGGTCCACAGTGTTGAAAAGCTGCAGAGCAAATAATAAAAACCCTTCCTCCTCCTCCTCCTCCTCCTCGTTGTCGGGTCAACAGTATGTGCCGGTCGCAGGGAAACCAGTCGATCACAGCGCAGACAGAACCAGTGGACGAGCCCTTTAGAACACAGGAATCACAGGAATCATCTTATTGCTTCGAGAGTCCAAACTTTAAGATTCTTCCAGACAAAAGAACCACACAGAACCACCGACACGGAACCTGAAGCTGAGCAGCGAGTCCAGACACGTTTCCTCAACGTCTACGTTCTGGTCGCAGTTTCTTGTTTTTGTTGTTCTGACTTCAGGTTGAACATCCTGCTGCTGTGGTTCTTCATCTGAACATCAAATCCTACAACGAGTCCTTCAGGCCGCTGATGAAATGTGTTTTTGTTTTTTTTTTGCTCCTAAAGGTCGAGAGGAGTAAAACCATCAAACCGAGACTGGCTCCACTTTACATAAGTGTTGAACAGAACCACAGGTGGAACCGTTGAGTAAAACTCCAACCGGAGCTAAAAAACTAAACATCTGATAAAACTCTGGGTCCGGATCAGCGTCGAGGCTTTAATTCACCGTCATCAGCCCTGAACCCGCAAAGGAACTCGGTTCTGGATGAGCAGAAATAAAAAACTAGAGTTTGGACTGGAGTCAGGAGAGCTACAGGTGGCTGAAGAGCAGCGGAACCAGGAACAGAACGTTGAAGCCGACGGTCCCGTACACGATGTAGCGGTACGGCAGCTCCACCTCCATGTGCTGCCGGGCCTTCCTCACGTCGCCGCTGGGGATCCCCATCACCCGGCACACCAGCGGGATGGTGACGGCCTTCATCAGCGCCCTCGTGGCCACCAGAACCAGAACCCCCGCCACCAGTCTCAGCACGGCGGCCAACACCAGGCCGGCGCTGAGGGCCGGGAAGGCGAGGGGCAGCTGGTCCGGCGTCTGGTCGGGCAGCAGGCCCAGGCAGTGGTTGACATGTGACGCCAGCGCCACGCCGGCACCGGTGCCCAGGATCTGGGCGGTGTCGCCCCGAGAGGTGCTCCAGGTGTCCAGGGTGAAGGAGAAGAGGCCCAGGCCCAGGTGGAGGCTGATGATGACCAGCGGGGCGAAGCGGCAGCTCAAGTTGAAGCCGTCGATCAGGTCCAGCGCCGGCAGGAAGAAGAGCAGGATGAGGACGCTGTAGAGGACGCCGGCGATGACGTCCTGCAGAACAGAACCAGAACCAGACATTAGACAGAGAACACTGACGCCAACAGGAACCGTCATAAAAACACAGAATCATCAAACAGTCTCACATTTCACTGGTTTCCAGCATTAAACCAGTTTAATGTGTTTAGAATTTACAAAAAACGTTTTACATGTCAAAGTAGAAAATCACTGTTTGCAAAGTGTTCACCACCTACAAGATCCTGTTGGCCTCAACCAGCCTGAACATCTGGAACAGAACTTCTCAGGTCCAGACACTAATTCTCAGCTGGACTGAGGTCTGGACTCTGACTGGGCCTCCAGAACTTCACCTTGTTGTCTTTAAACCATTTCTGTGGAGCTTTGGCTGTTTGCTTCGGCTCATTGTCTTGATGGAAAACAAATCTTCTCCAAGTCTCAGTTCTCCTGCAGACTGCATCAGGTTGTCCTCCAGGATTTCTCTACACTCTGCTGCATTCATTCACCCTCTATCTTTACAAGCCTTCCAGGACCTGCTGCTGACAAGAGCCCCACATCATGATGCTGCCACCACCGTGCTTCATGGTGGGGAGGGTTTTTTTGTGATTAAGTGCAGCGTTTGTGTCCACCAAACACAGCATCTAGTCTGATGACCAGAAAGTCCACTTTGGTCTCCTCAGACCAGAGAACCTTCTTCCAGGTGACTTCAGAGTCTCCACATATCTTCTGGTGAACTCTAGTCCTGATTTAATCAGAGTTTTTTCCAACAGAGTCTTTCTCTTCATCCCTTTCACAAAGCTTTGACTTGACCTCCTCCAGAGGACTCGTGGTGTCTTCACTGCCTCCTTCACTCAGTTTAGGGCAAAAGGATCTCAGCAGACCATGACTGTTTCTTGTTTTCTAGTATTTTACTTTCCATGCTGTCGTTCCTGCTGCTAACATTGTGGCTTTGGTTTATCGTCAGTGTTACTGCAGTCATCTGGACTTTATGAGACACTTAACACCTGGTTGTTTGTGTTCATTGTGTCCCTGCAGGCCGAGTATTGATTGTGTTTGTATGCTCAGCGGCCGTAAACTGTGAGTCAACACTTAATCTGAGTGTTCAGCAGGAGTCTAATCAGCGTCTGCTGCTTTCACTGCAGGACAAATCGATGCAGGTTTTACTGTAACTGTACCCCGGACCGGCGGGTCACTGACACCAACCAAAGTCCTCCAAACATCTGTCCAGCTGCTGGAACACGGTTTAACAAGGACACGTTTTACTGCCGCAGCCAGATAAGGAGAGGAAACACGCTGAGTTATCGCTTTACCGCCGCCGCTATCAGCTGCTCCGTTAACGAGGTCCAAGGAAAGACTTTCTCCGACGCAGCAGAGACACAACGTGCTGCTAGAAACGCCCAGAGAGACGACAAGTGGACGAGCATTTGGGCCGAAGCAGCGACGGACTGACGTGAATGGTGGCCTCCAGAACCAGCTACTGAGCAGAACCAGGACTTGTGCACATTTCCTGTTTAAATACCTTTTTCACTGTTGGTCCTTCATTTCTTTGCTGCTGTTTGATCAATAAAGGATTGTTTTATCTCATGTGAGCAGATCAGGACACATTCACAGTGTTCTGATTCTTTTTAATGGGTCTGATTCATGTTTTTTAAAAAAGAAAAATCTAAATTCTGCGATTGCAGCTTCTGAATATATTTGTGTTCTTCCATCTCAAACCGATCACCTCTGATTTGCTTGAGACTTTTTTTTTTAAAATCATGAACGGAGGATATTTAAATTGGTACCCTGAAAATTTTAGATTGAAAAGTTTATAAAAATTGCCCGTCGACCCACTTTCAGCATTTTTTTTTTCTCATATTTAAATCTGAGGCTGTTTGAACAACATCTGAGGAACTATTAAAGATAAAAACCTGAACTTTTCACTGTTATTTCTCATCGTGTCGTTGATTCAGACCAGT